GGCCGCGGGGCCCGGGGAGGCGCGTGGGGCCAGTCATTCCCGAACCGGAGCCGGCGGCCTCTCGGGGAAGGGAAATTGGCCCTCGGTAGTTGTGGAGGTACAGGCTTCTTCCCAGTCCACCCGAGTCGCCGCCCGCAGCTACCCCTCTCCCGGAGCCGCGATCTCCTGGGCAAATGGGGTTCGGCCTTGGGTGCGCGCGCGGCCTCTTGGTCCTGAGTTAGCGCTGGGCTCGGTGGCTGGGCTTCATTTTTGTTCAAGGCTAGCCTTTTGGTGGCTAGTCTTTGGGGGTCTCCCGGACGCTTCTGCCCGCCCGTGCAGGGTTTGAACTGCGATCCCCACATCTCAGCCTCCTGACACAGTAGGATCACAGGCCTAGTGAGCTACTGGCGCCCAGCATGGCAATTTGCATTTCTAACACACTTTCTGCTGCCTTCAGATGATTCTTAATACCTCTAGTTTGAGAAACAGGAAAAAAAAAGCCAAATAGGGATTTTTTTTTTGGTGTGATTCATACATAAAACTGGGGGACACAAAAGCATCTTCCCAGGCTGAAGTAATAGATGAGGGCTGCCTTTGAAATTTCTACCTATGCTCAGCTTTGAACTTATGTCCTGATAAACCAAAATCACAGGACAGCACACAAGTCACAGGAACACAAGGTTGAGCTCACTTCAGGCAAGAACTGAAGGTTGGCCCCAGACCAGCCATGGCCAGTTGAGCACATTGAGGGCAATGGAAACCGCTGTACTGTATTAGAAGGAAATGCTATTTTTTTTTAAAGCTTTTCACCACTTATTAAAAGTAATGTGGAGACGGGTCCAGAGGCTCACATCTATAAACCTGTTCAGCAGGCTGAGATCTGAGGATCACAGTTCAAAACTAGCCCAGGCAGGAAAGTCCGTATCTAAAAAAGCTGGAAGTAGAGCAGTAGGCTCAAGTGATGGAGCGTCAGCCTTTAGCATAAAAGCTCAGGGACAACCCAAGCTCTGAGTTCAAATCCCTAGGACTGGCAAAGCAAGGAAGGAAGGCTATGCAAAGCAATTTAATAATTGTTAAATAATAAAAGAATATATGACATTTTGTTAGTGTGATGGTAGTGGGTCCTGCTTTTTCACTCAAGGCTGGCACTCAACCACTTGAACCATATCTTGACCACCAGTTCTGCTGGAGATAAGGATTTCAGGGACTTTCTGCCCTGGCTGGCTTTGATCCTCCATCTTCAGATCTCAGCCTCTTTTTTTTTTAATTTAGTTTATTTATGTGGAACTGAGGAATTGAATCCAGGACCTCATGCATACCAGGCAAGCACTCTCAATAAGCCACACTCCCAGCGCATCTCAGCCTTTTGAGTAACTAGGATTACAGGTGTGAGCCACAAGTGTGTCCTGCTAAGAGATCTTTATGACATTTTATTTTTTTTTAAGAAGACATAAACAGCTTTTATTACCTTGGTATATCATAGTGGTCTTGTTGTTGTTCCTTCACATTTAGGTGGTTTTGTCGCCCTCCCTCATCCCAGTCTGGCAACACAGTACATCCTTGAATGATTAGCCCAATGCAGCGACATACTTAACTTCCATATCCCTGACACCATTCATTCACAAGGTCAAGGTTCTGGTCCACAGACACTCCCCAACAGGAAGTTCAATGCTTGCCAAAAGGCCTCCCAGGATGGCTCTCTCCAACAAGATGCCGATGGAAAGCAGCAGCTTGTTGGTTGTTACTTTTCTGGACATTGAACGGAGAATCTTTCGACTCCTACTCAAATTTTCATTTGTGTTTACCAATCTGTTCTTGGTACCTTCCAACTGCTCTCGTTGCTCCCCTAGTTCTTCTATGATTTCTGTGCCAATCTGATCAGTCTCTGTGGCAATCTGATGAGAACACTCAAGACTTCGGGTGGCCTGTTCAGGCTCTCAGTGCCTTGTAGAAGCAATGGCCTCTGAGTGTGTAGCCGATTCATACGTTCATTTTCTAAGGCATATGTGCCATCCTTTATGTCTCCTCGGCCCTCAGGTGTGGCTGTCAAAGGTGTAGGCCTCACCTCCCAATGGAGTTTGGCAAGGTCCTACCGGTAGTTTCGTAGACATCATGGGGTTAGGGAAAGACAGGGTTGCATATCGTAGTTCTTCCTCCATCTCTGCCAGCGTTTCATTTCATCAGAATCTCTGATTAACTTCTCTTCGGTCCCAGCTGTCCCCAGCAGCCGCTCGGGCACAGCTTGTAGGTCTTCATGGAAGATCTCATGCAGCTTCTCAAAGTGCTCTGCTCCGAGGAAGCTGCCAACGTGGCCCATAGTGCTGGGCGCGCTGGGGCAGCGGCTGCCCAGATGCCGGGCGCAGGGGCCCACGCCTCGCCCAGTGTTCAGCTGCCCAGTGCCGCAGCCATTACCACCGTCGCCGCTGTGACATTTTAAAATGGTTAACCAAGCCATGAACTGGTGGCTCAGACCTATAATCCTAGTTACTCAGGAGGAGGCTGAGATCTGAGGATCACAGCTAAAAACCTGACCCGTCCAGCAGGTCCAGTTATTTTGTTAGGCTCGAGGAGGCACCTCCTAAAAACCAATGGGGGTGAGAGAGAAACGAGACCAAGCACATAAAGAAAGACAAAGTCAGTCTGAGTCGCGTCAAGGTCTGCTTTATTGAGCTCAGGGTAGGGTTTTTATACCCACAGGGGCGATGGGAAAGGGAAGAATGAAAAAATTTTGCAGAAGCAAGGGTGAGAAGTCCCGGGGTCAGGGATGGGTCGTGCTTTTCCTTTGGCCTTTGTGCTAGTCTTAAAAGTACCTCCTGTGGTTTCTCCAAGAGACATTTATGGTTAGCCAGGCACCGTTTGCTTAGGGCTGGAGATAAGAGAAATATTTATGGTTAGCCAAATGTTGTTTGCTTAGGGCTGGAGGAATCTTATCTTTCCATACATTTTCTTGGCTCCCAACAAAAACCAGTTTGGGCTACAAGAGTCAGTGAGACTCTTAACTCCGATTAACCACCAGAAAAACCAAAAGTGGCGCTGTGGCTCAAGTGGTAGAGTGCTCGCCTTGAGCTGAAGAGCTGAGGGACAGCGCCCAGGCCCAGAGTTCAGGGCCCATGACTGACAAAAATAAAAAAATTAATTACTTATGTACATAACATTCTAATATGTAAAAATTTTACATATTATTTGGAAAAATGAGGAAAAAACAGCCGTGATTTCACCACGATGAAATAATCATTTTTCCTTGTTAGCATGTGTCAGTCTCTTTTTCCATTGGTTTCATTTCTAGAACTTTTTTGTTTGTCTTGGTGCTGGTCCTGGGGTTTGAACTACAGGCTTATGCATTGGCCCTGAGCTTTTGTGCTCATGGATAGCTCTACCACTTGAGCCACAGCTCCACTTCCAGCTTTTTTGGTGGTTAATTGGAGATGTTCCTGCCGGGGTTGGCTATAAACTTCACTCCTCCAATCTCAGCTTTCTGATTAGTTAGAGCTACCAGCACCCAGTGACTTTTTTTTTTTTTCACCAGTCCTGGGGCTTGAATTCAGGGCCTGGGCACTGACCTTGGGCTTTTTTTTGCTCAAGGCTAGCACTCTTATCACTTGAGCCACAGCACACTTCTGGCTTTTTGTTTATGTGGTACAAAGGAATCGAACTCAGGACTTCATCATGCATGCTAGGCAAGCACTCTACCACTAAGCCACATTCCATGCCCAAATAGGGTTGTTTATTTGTTGTTGTTTGGCTTTAAAAAATTTTTTTTCTTTTTTGGTACTGGGGATCAAACCCAGGACGTTGCACTAGTTAGGCAAGCACTTTGCCACTGGGCTACATCCCAGCCCAACTTGTTTTTAAACTGAGGGCTTCATACTTGCCAGGCAGATAATCTTATTACCTAAGCCACACTTCTAGCTCATTTTGCTTTCAGTATTTTTAAAATAGGGATTAATCTTGTGAATAGGTACTCATTTTGTGTCTAGGCAATGCTGGATTTCCATTCATGCTTCCCACACATCTGGAATGACAGGTAGATACCACTGCACTCAGCTTTTTACTAGGTGAGATGTGATTTCATCAACTTTTACCTGGGTCCGCCTGTTGATTATGGTATGAGCCACCACATCAAGCTAGCACTTTTTCTATTGCTTTTTTCCCTCAAGGTTAGTAATATACTAACTGAGTCACAGCTCCACTTCTGGCTTTTTTAATGGTTAATTGGAGATAAGACTGTCCTGCTTGGGCTGATTTTCAACCAAGATCTTCAGGTTTCAACCTCCTGAGTAGCTAGAACTACAAGTGTGAGCCATTGGCACCTGGCTATCACTTTTGTTACCTTTCCTTAAAAAATGAAAGCTTGGTACCAGTGCCTCATACCTGTAATTCCATGTACTTGGGAGCCTAAGAACTAGAGAATCACAGCTCTTGAAAAGCCAAGCTGGGGCTAGGAATGTGGCTCAGTGGCTTGCTTAGCATGCATGAAGCCCTCGGTTCCATTCCTCAGTACCACATAAACAGAAAAAGTCAGAAGTAGCTCTGTGGTTCAAGTGGTAGAATGCTAGCCTTGAGCAAAAGAAGCTCAGGGATGGTGTCCAGGCCCTGAGCTCAAGCCCCACCATTAACAAAACAAACAAAACCATTTATAGGGGCAGAATACTCATAATTTAGCCTTTGCTCCCAAAGTTTCACTTTTGTGAGGGATGTGTGGAAGTACAGGTCATTTAATTTAGGGCCTCATACTTGCTAGGTAGTGTGGATTGAGATTCCTCTATTTATGTTTCCTGTGTAGGTGGGATGACAAACATATACCATTACAGCTAGGCATTCACTGAGATGAGGTCATGCTTTTTGTACAGGTTGGACTTGAACTTCAAATCTTCCAATCTCTGCCTCCATAGAACTCTGCCTACTAAGTATGTGGAATTACATGTGTGACCAACTGCTCCCAATCAAATAGTCTATCTTTTTTTTTTTTTTTGTGGGCTATGGGGCTTGAACTCTGGGCCTGGGTGCTGTCCCTCAGCTCTTCAGCTCAAGGCTAGCGCTCTATCACTTGAGCCACAGTGCCACTTCCAGTTTTCTGGTGGTTTATTGGGGATTAAGAGTCTCACAGAGGCCGGGCGCTGGTGGCTCATGCCTGTAATCCTAGCTACTCAGGAGGCTGAGATCTGAGGATCGTGGTTCAAAGCCAGCCTGAGCAGGAAACTCCGTGAGACTCTTATCTCCAATAAAGCACTAGAAAACCAGAATTGGCACTGTGGCTCAAGCCGTAGAGCACTTGCCTTGAGCTGAAGACCACAAGGGCAGCGCTCAAGCCCAGAGTTCAAGCCCCATGACTGACAAAAAAAAAAGTCTCACACTTTCCTGCTCAGGCTGGTTTGAACTGCAATCCTCAGATCTCAGTCTCCTGAGTAGCTAGGATTACTGGCATGAGCCACTGATGCCCAGCAACAATCTACCTTTTTTATACATTAAAAACAGACTAAGCTGGGTGCTGTAATCCTAGCTAATAAAGAGCTGAGATCTGAGGGTCACGGTTTGATGCCAGTTGGGGCAGGAAAGTCTGTGAAACTTTTTTTTTTTGGCCAGTCCTGGGGCTTGAACTCAGGGCCTAGGCACTATCTCTGAGCTTCTTTTTTTGCTCAAGGCTAGCACTCTATCACTTGAGCCACTTCTGATCTTTTCTATGTATGTGGTACTGAGGAATCAAACCCAGGGCTTCATGCATGCTAGGCAAGCACTGTACCACTAAGTCATATTCCCAGCCTCAATGAAACTCTTATCTCCAGTCAACCATTTGAAAACTGGAAGTAGTATCGTGCCCTAAAGTGGTAGAGTGCTAGCCTTGAATGGAAGAGCTCAGGGATAGCGCCCAGGCACTGAGTTCCAGCCATATGACTGACAAAAATAAAAAATAAAATAAAATAAATCAGACTGAATAATCTGTGGTTCTTTTGGCACATTTTAATGGGTTTCATCAGGACACTTTTATACATGTATATATATATATATATATATATATATATATATATATAATTTATTTATTTATTTTTTTTGGGTCCGGTCCTGGGGCCTGAACTCTGGGCCTGGGCGCTGTCCCTCAGCTCTTCAGCTTAAGGTTAGCGCTCTACTACTTGAGTCACAGCACCACTTCTGGCTTTTTTTTTTTCTTTTTTGCTTATGTGGTGCTGAGGAATCGAACCCAGGGCCTCAGACATGCAAGGCACTACTGCTCTACCACCGAGCCACCTTCCCAGCCCCACATGTATATATTTTGACCATATTCAACTCCCATTACATTCTTTTGTAGCACATGTTAAATTAGAAAAATTGTTTTAGGAATGTTAGTAGCCAGGGCTGGAAAGGTGGCTCAGTGGTAGAGTGCTTGCCTCACATTCATGAGGTCCTGGGTTTGATTCCTCAGCACCATATAAGCAGAAAAAACCAAAAGTGGCACTGTAGCTCAGGTGGTAGAGTGCTAGTCTTGAGCTGAAGAGCTGAGGGACAGTGCCCAGGCTCAGAGTTCAGACCCACAACTGACAAAAGAAAGAAAAGAATGTTAGTAGCCGGGTGCCTATAACCTGTAATCCTAGCTACTCAGGAGCTTGAGATCTGACAATTGTGGTTCAAAACTGGCTTGGGGGGCTGGGAAGGTGGCTCAGTGGTAGAGTGCTTGCCTTGCATGCATGAGGCCCTAGGTTCGATTCCTCAGCACCACATACGTAGAAAAAGCTGGAAGTGAGACTGAGGCTCAAGAGGTAGTGCGCTAGTCTACAGCAGAAGAACTGAAGGACAGCATCCAGGCTCAGAGTTCAGACCCCACGACCGACAAAAAAAAAAGCTGGCCTGGGCAGAAAAATCCCCATGTGACTTTTTTATGACTTAATTGTGAGCTATCTGTAGCCTATAGTTCAATTAGCACCATTAATAATGAAGACCCTACATCAATCAACATAGTTTTACTGATGATTCCAGGAAATATTTTGCCTCTAAGACAGGTTGTAAATTAGGGCCTACCTTCATTGTGATTCTTACAAATAACCTGAACATCCATTCTTCTGACTAACAGTTTGCTCAGTTGGCTACAGGGCTTTCTTTTCAGACGTTAAGAGGGTGAATTGAGTACTCATTGGGCAAATCCTCTTCTTTATGAAAAATAGTCAGGGCTAGGGATATAATTCAGTGATAGAACACAAGTTTAGCATTTGCAAATCTTGGGTTCATTCCCCAGCATTACATAGAATGGGTGGGGAACAGGCAAATCAAACTCACCATATTGGGACACTGGTTCCAAACTATTATACTATGAACTATGTCCAATACTAATGAGATCCTCATAATGAAAAAGACCATCCTAAAAAAATTGAACCTAGACTACAGAACCACATAAAAAACAACCCTTTACCCTCCTCTGATATTGTAGTATGGTTATACCAAAGTACTACTCTCTTTTTTTAAATATTTTTATAGTAGGGGCTGGGAATGTGGCTCAATGGTAGAGTGCTTGCCTTGCATGCATGAGGCCCTGGGTTGGATTCCTCAGCACCACATAAGCAAAAAGAAAAAAAGCCAGAAGTGGCGCTGTGGCTCAAGTGGTAGAGTGCTAGCCTTGAGCTGAAGAGCTGAGGGACAGCACCCAGGCCCAGAGTTCAGGCCCCATGACTGGACCCAAAAATATATATATGTATATTTTTATAGTAAGGATACTATACACAGGGGTTACAGTTGTACCAGTCTCTTTGTATGCAGTAAGAAACAGCTTTACTTAGTTGAGTAGGTTATTCTGGTGATCTTTTGTGTGATAGTAGGGAGTTGGTAATTGTAGTAAAAAGAGTTTACAGTCAACATATTTGGCAAATGCCAAATACTGCATAGCTGCAGTAACTGGAAACTTCCATTTTATAGTCCAGAGATTCACTAGTGTTATCAGTAGGTTAAACTGAAAACAAAGGACACCAGGAGATTGTGCTCTCAAATTTTGTACTTGTGATGATAAAATTCCTAGTCTATAGGTAAAGAAGTCATCTATAGCTCTAGTTCCAACTTATCTCTACGTACTTTTTTTCAAGCTTTAAATTGCAGCAATGTGTTTTTTTTGTTGTTGTTGCTGTTCTGGTCATGGGGCCTGAACTCTGGGCCTGGGCACTGTGCCTCAGCTCATCAGCTCAAGGCCAGCACTCCACCAGCCAGCGCCACTTCCGGCTTTTTTCTTTTTGCTTATGTGGTGCTGAGGAATCGAACCCAGGGCCTCATGCATGCAAGGCAAGCGCTCTACCACTGAGCCACCTTCCCAGCCCACTGCAGCAATGTTTTAACCATTGGTATCTCCCCTTCAGTTTCCCAAACTGCATTATTCCTCTTCAATCCTTCTGCCCAATTCCTAACCTTACAGCACACTCTAGCCATGATTTCCTCAGGAACACTTTCTCCAAGCTGCTAGGGCATTGTTCTTGTAGCTACCCCTAACACAGGACTCAGCATTGTATTGTCTCCTTACAAGGGTTTCTTTCCCACTGAGTTCCTTGAAGACCAGAAAACAAAGAAGAATGTACACACATGGAACCTCCATGCAATCTACAATACCAGCCAAGCTGTGGAACATAAATGTCTCTTCAACCTAACAGAAGGGTCAAGGATAGCTGAATTGGTGAGAAAAGAAAACCTTACTCTCTTGATGCTGGGGCTTGAACTTAGGGCCAGGGTATATAGCTCCTTTAGCTTTTTCCTGCTCAAGGCTGTGGTTCTACCAGTAGAGCCACACTTCCCTTTCCTGCTTTATAGTGGTTATTTAGAGAGAAGATGCTTACAGCTTTCCCACCCTAGGAAAATGGGGGAGAATGGAAAAGGAATAGACTGGATTCCATCTTCAACAGGCTAGGACTGTTTATTGCCAGCCAGGGGCACAAGACCTTCCTGAAGGTGTGGAGTTTGTCAGAGGGACTGGATTTGGGGTCAGGCTTCTATGGGTCTTAACAAGGAAGCAGAAACTAAAAAAAATAGGCTATGGTCTCTTGGGGGGCTAAGGGCGGTGTCCTTGGCCAGACTCAGAATGGTATGCTTAGCCTGGGGTGAGGTCTGAGTGACCATCAACTGACAAGCAGTAAGCACATACCTGGTGTTTTGCTTGACCTGGGGGAATAATTCGGGAGTCAGTCCTTCAGCTCTGAACTGTGCTTCTCAGATCTCAGTCTCCTGAATAGCTAGGATTACAAGCCTGTGAGCCACCAGAGCCTGGCTGAGAAATGGGTACTGTTAGGAAACTGAGTCAAGCGGATTCCCATCAGGTACTTCGAAGTATTTACTTTGGTTGTTGGCGGGGACTGCCCTAGCTGAACTGAGCTGCAGGTTGGGAGAAGCCCAGAGGTGAGGGCACGGCAGGGCAACCACATCACCAAACGGTGAAACCGAGATGAAGTCATGATCACTGCCATCACCACTGATTCTGGTCTTAGGGTGTGGGGCGCAGGAAGGCAGGCCCTGCTTCTAGTGTCAATAAAAGGGAGGGAGATAAGGAGGGGCCTAGAACGTTCTAAGAGCTGTCAGCCTCAGCTGCACCGGGTCAAGGGTCCCGCCTGCCTTCTCACAGCTTGCACGGACTTTGACTTTCAGTTCAGTTCACTCACACCTTTCTCATCCCACCAGTTCCTAGGCCCGCCTCTCCTCCAGGAAGCACCGCTCCCACAGTCCCCAGCAGTCCCGACATCTTGTGGCTGAGGGAGGGGACTTGGATTCCTTCTGGGGCAGAACGAGTTCACAGACAGGGCGGCTTAGCTCAGAAGCTCAGCGGCCCACACTCAAAGCTCGACTCCCAGCACACTGTTCCCACTCCCGGAAGCGCGTAACCGGAAGGGGCGGTTCCCCTTTGCCAGACGCGGGACCTCTGCCGTCATGGCTTCTCGTGCGGTCGTTGGCATTTTCCTGCTCTCTGCTGTCCCTCTCTTGTGTCTGGAGCTCAGGCGTGGGATCCCGGGACTAGGTAAGCGTTGACTGCTTCCCCTTGGTGCTCACAGCTATGTTCTCACGTGTGTTGTGTAGACCTACCTCCTTCCCGTCGCGGCGCCGCGGTGCGGTGCGGACTACAATTCCCAGACTGCATCGCGCTCGCGCCGCAGTTGGAGCCGAACCGTATCCTCTGGGATCCGGCTGAGGGTTCTGCTGAGCACGGAAGGCGGGAAGGCCCCTCACCGTCGCCAATTACTGTGCTTTCTCGTCACGATGAGGCAGGACACATCGATGGGACTGGGGAAATTATGTATTTTATACAAACATCAAAAGGGCCAGACCCTGAAGTTAATAATCTAGGATTAAAAACAAACAAACAAACAGCTAAAGCCGGGCACCCGTGGCTCACGCCTGCAATCCCAGCTATTCAGGAAGCTGAGATCTCAGGATCAAGGTTCAAAGCCAGCCCATGCAGGAAAGTCCTTAATCTCCAATAAACCACCAGAAAACCGGGAGTGGCGCTCTGGCTCAAGTGGTAGAGCACTGGCCTTGTGCTGAAGAGCTGAGGGACAGTGCCCAGACCCAGAGTCCAGGCCCCACGACCGGAACCCCCCCCCCCAAAAAAAAAAAAAAAAAAGCTCAGAGCTATCAGCTGCACTGGACATTGATGAAAGTGAACCAAGCAACGGGCAGCCATGGGAGAGAAGGAATGAAAAAGGGGGAACAGTTTACACTAAGCAAAAGGAAAGAAATGTACATATCAGCTGATCTGGAAAAAATAGCTGTACTGTCAAAGTTTGTAGAGACTATAAGCTTTATAGATCATGATAATGGCAATGCACCTAGTGAAGGTTAAAATGTGTGTGTGAGACTTAAGTATCACAATCCCACAATACTATGAAATTTGCGAAATTTATGTAATCAATCTCAAAGAAAAACAAGGATTGGGAAATAAATAAAAATAAAAAGTGGTACTCTACTACTTCGTGCCACAGCACCACTTCCAATTTTCTGGTGGTTAATTGGAGTGAGTCTCAGAGACTTTACTGCCCAGCCTGAATTTGAACCGAGATCTCAGAGCTCAGTTTCCTGAGTAGCCAGGATTATAGGAATGAGCCACTTTTGAGGTTTTCGTTTTGTTTTGTGGGTCATGGGGCTTGAACTCTGGGCCTGGGTGCTGTCCCTGAGCTCTTCAGCTCAAGGCTAGTGCTCTACCACTTGAACCATAATGCCACATCGGTTTTCTGGTGGTTTATTGGAATTAAGAGTTTCACAGACTTTCTTGCCCGGGCTGGCTTTGAACTGCAATCCTCAGATCCCAGCCTCCTGAGTAGCTAGAATTACAGGCTAGATTCACCGGCCCTGGCTTGAGTTTTCTTTGTTGTTTTTGTTTTTGTTCTCCTCACGTGAATTTTGTGTTATCTAAATGAAGACTTTCTCTCCATCTTTGGTGGTGGGTTTGTTTATGGGTGCTGGTACGAGGGCTTGAATTCAGGGCCTCATGTTCTCCCTTGGGTTTTTTCACTCAAGGCTGATGGAACCTTTACCTAGATTCTTTATTTTTTATGATGATGATTATTTTTTAAATATATTTTTATTTTCTTGAAATAGTTGTTTACCTGGATTCTTTAAATAGTGTGTCAGAGTAAAGATTGAATTGTTTCTCTTCTACAAAAAAATTGTTTCTTTTCTACAAAAACGTAAATAATAATTTGGAATTTGATGGAGTATAACTCTGTGATGAGGTCTACTTAGCACGCTGAAGGCATAGATTTTATCTCAGTACTGACTAAAAAAAAAATGAGAATTGTTATTTCATTGGAAATGACTTTTTTTTTTGTTTTTTGGTCCAGTTGTGGGGCCTGAACTCTGGGCCTGGCCACTGTCCCTCAGCTCTTCAGCTCAAGGCTAGCGCTCTACCACTTGAGCCACAGCGCCACTTCTGGCTTTTTTCTTTTTGCTTA